AAAAAAAAAAAAAAAATCGTGGCTTGCTTGCAGATTTCCCCTATTTTCCCGCGTGAAACAAAAGAAAATCATAGACGTCTGCACGTCATCAAACACAAAAAATGTAACCATTTAACTTTTAATGAAAAAACTCATGCAATCAAAGTCATGATCACAAGCAGCAGATCTATGTGCATTAGCTACTGGACAAAACTGCGAGACTTGTTTCAAAGGCATCATCTCACAACACCCTTTATACCAAATAAATACTTGGTCGAAGTTCTCCGGCAATGGGATTTACCGTCAACCACCAAAAGACCAATATGTTAGCTGTCAACAGTCCAAATTATAGGAAAAGATGCCGTTAGCCGTCAAATAACCGAAAATCATACCCGTCAACCTACAAAAAGCTATATTTTTTAACCATCAACCGTCGAGGGTACCCCGTCCCTCTATTGAGATCCTCCTTATCGACTTGTATCCTATGAATTTGTAGTCTCTGGGGCAGACCGAGGGTTACATGGTGATCTTAATAGTTTAATGCCCCATTTAGCAAGACCGTGAGAACTATACTTTTAGTACTGTACGTTAATTGAGTCCCATTGATTTTGATTTTTTCAATTCTTACAGCTGCTCCAGGTGTTCCTGCTAATCCTTGTTGGCCTCCAGAACCTCTCCTACCCTGCAGATCAAACATAACTGGATAAGGCACCATCCCCAAGCTTGCAGTGACATTACGAAGTTTAAGGTGTGATGTTGAGAACGCTGACCAAATTGAAAACATTGCTAAGTTTATTAATAGCACATAATTTGCTGGAAAGAAACAGAATAAAAAGAACAAAAGACACTAAACCAGGTAAATATGTGGATTTCGGGCCGTCTTTCAGTTCATCTCATTGTTCGCTTTGGTCACTTGTCAGTTTTTAGCCAGTTTGTTTAGAAAATTTACTTTGCTGCTTCCTTATTTGTTGCGTAATTGTGAGTTAAAAGCCAGCATGTCCTCCTATTATTCAGAAGTGGACAATTGTGATCCAAACAAACCAAACTGAATAGTACTCTACCCGTTCTCCTTGCGGTCCTGGAACACCAGGCAAGCCTTGCACGCCCTGAAGAAAAGAAAACTACAATTTAGATACGTGTTGGTATAAAGTCACTTAACATGTTCTTTATTTTCTTTTAACATGTTATTATTCTTTATCGAAGATAAAACCCCGGGAATACCTACCAAACGATGGCTCTCAACAGCAACGAACTTAGACCATGTAAAATGACAAGTAAAGAAGTTCTAGTGTCGTTGTTTTTTTTTTTTTCTGGACTACGCAAGAAAAAGTTGTAAAGCGAAAGCTCATAAGGATTTATAATGCAATCTTCCTAAAGAGTTGAATAGAGATCATGTATCTCGGTGCGATAAACACGTAAATGGAAGAAAAGGAAGACAAGGCATTAGAAAGCTAATAACACAAATGCATTGTTTGTTTATAAAGACTGACATTTCGCTTCCACAAGCAATTTTATTTCAACGGTTTTCCTATCCCACCCTGCACATAATTTCATTACCTGCATACCGGCTCGACCTCGGGAGCCTCTTGATCCTCGATTTCCAACAATTCCCTGAAAAAAAAAAAACAGTTAAAAGTAATCTCAAATTAAATTCACACGAAACAAACAAAAGACACACAAAAAGTGAGAAATATTAACTGAAATCCCTGCAAACGCCACGCCGACTTTTCAACCCAGCAAATACAGGTTGCGGAGCTATGTAATCACTGATTATCAGGCAAAGAAACTCACGTAAAGACTATAAACAGGTTGTGGGAGCTACATTTTCAGCTGTAATTAAAGATGCTCGTCTACAGATAACCTGCGTAGCAAAATTTTCCTCTCCATTTTCCGGGCGTGGAGATCGAACAAGCGAGCAAGCAACCACGCGCGCCTGGGGTGAAAATTTGCTACACAGGCCACTGTAAAGACTTTGTGAAGGTTGTAGGAATTACATTAATCACCTACAGTAGGTCAAAGATTTTAATGTAAAGACTATGTTCATCTTTACCTCTATTCCTTGTGCACCATTTGGTCCAATCACACCCTGGGAACCTGTTTCACCCTAAGCATCAAATATACAAACGAGATGAAGTGAAGCCTTTTTTGAGCGCAAATTAAAGGTACGCTCGAAAAAGCAAGAATATTATGTTCTTTTCGAGTTCTGTACTAGAATACTTACCCTTGATCCTGTATATCCTGGGATACCACGAGAACCGCGGTCTCCGGATCCACCCTATAAACAAACGATTACAAGTTGATTTTTTTTTCGCACCGGAGAACACAAAACAGGCGGTGTTGCCGATACTTCATCTCAACAACGTTTGTTACTTTTTGACCATAATTCCATATGTCTAACCAGTTTCACAAAACCAAAATTCTACACGAACAAATCCATGAACGTACAACCGGGTTACAGAGGTTCTCACTCAACTTATACTTCATGTAAAGTCCTCGTAATGTCAAATCCGATTTAAGATAACACTACCGTTCTGAGGCGGTAACAAGCAGCTTTCTAAAAGGCATATATAAACATTCTCAAAAACAAACACATTAACGAAGTTAGTTGCATGTTAATTACTTGTCTTGGTTTCATTTGTTTCTGTTGTTTATTTTTTTATTTTGCTCATCAGCTTAAACGATGAAGCTTCGCAGCTTCGATGCTAACGAAATCCACAACAACATGTAACAATTGATTAGAGCCCACTCACTCTCCGTCCTGTGGGACCCGGAGGGCCTGGGCTTCCTGGACGACCCATTTCACCCTATCCAAAAAGATATTTAAAACATCAGTTAATGTGCATACTGCTTCCTTGTTATCTTTTATGAAAATATCTTTAATTTACAGGACATTACTCGTCGCTTTGCTTGCAATTTTTTCAATGGTATATAAATGAATCGCTAAGACTAGAACTGAACGGGATAAAACTAGGCCAAACGAACATTGATTTCT